TAGCGTACTCTGCCCCAAGGCATCAGCTGGCATGCAAAAAATATGATATTCGAAATTACTTTTATAACAACATAATATGTGACGCGGAAAATGGTTCATGAAAGCCCCAATTCTATCGAGGAAAAGGCCACACGTAATGTCAAATTCAGTCTATTTAACTATAGTAATTAAGTAAATAATATTTTTATATTATGTTGTCGATAAAAAAGTAATATTTCTCTAAAAAATTTCATCATGAAACTCACATTAAATTTATATAAACTACAATGACCAAATAATTAATGTTTATAAAATTGTAACAAAAAGGCAACATTACATTTCTTGAAACTATAGTAATTAAATAAATAACACTTATGAAATGCCGACCGTAAAAGTTATATTAAATGTTAAGGAATTGTTGTGTATACCTTTACAAGAGCCAGATAAAGACTAAAATGGAGTACTGCTGCCATATTTGGGTTGGAGCTGTTCACTCCCTACTTGATAGAGTTCAAATCATCTCCGCGTCCTAGTTGCTGACAAATTATTTTTCATCACACAACCCTTTTCTCCCAGACGAAACGTCGCAAGCCACTTGTTGTTCTATCGCTATTTGTATGGAAAGTGCTCAGATGAACTACATTCTTTAGTTCCATCAGTTCTAACTTTCACGGCTAAGACCCGCCTTGCCAAGCGTATTATGACGAACCACCGTCATTGCCTTCGTATTCCCTAGGGGAGATGTAAGTTCCACTTACTATATAATATAATATATATCTTATAATGAAGAAAACATAAACTTTGAACAGTTTATGCAAAATTTTAATCCAAAGATGCTACAACTTATTCAGGAATTAGAAAAATAAACAAAATATGATACAGACAGATTTTGTCGGTCGAACAAAAACTATTTATCGATAAATGGAGTAAAGAATGGTTCATATATTTTAACGCCTCCAGAACGAAACTTCTATCTTATAATCACAAAAGAGAATCATTTTGACTTACATCAGTATGGTGGATGCTAACCCCCAGGAGAGCAACTCGTTTTGCCCTCTCGGGCTAACGTTTTCCACTGACATGATGTGAAATGATTATATTGAATCAACTGCTAGGAAAAATGGTTCACTGTGTCGTCCCAGACAATTTTTCTCGTCAGAATACGTCTTACACATTTCCAAATCAATCGTTCGTCTGTGCAATGAATATTGCTGCTATATCTGGCCTTGTTCTCCCGCTACATATCCCAAGATTCTTGACAAAATCCAAAGAAGGGTCTGTAATGTTATCGGTCCTGATCAGGCATCACGACTTGTCACTTTCCCACTGTCATGACGAGGCTTCCTTTTGTCTTTTCAATAATTACTTTCATGACAGATGACCTAAAGGGCTCTCCTCCCTGGTCCCGCGATCACATCAATTTAAGCGCATTACTAGACTGGAAACTAGGTCCCATCATTTTACTTTTGAATTAGCTAGATGTAACCGTAAGTTCTATTATAAAATGGATTAAGTCCGACAATTATTTAATATATTTTCTGTTTATACATTATTTTTATAGATATAATTTATTTAAATAAACTCTTTTTTTTAATTATACAGAATTAATTACATTTAATGGCCTGAATGTTCGAGGAACGTTCTTGGACCTCCTTTGTTCCAAATTGTAATCAACGACATTCCTGATATTATCATTTCCTCAAGTATCTATGGTTATGGCACAACCATGGCTGATGCTAAACTCCAGGTGATTGACTCATTGCACATTCTCATACTAACGTTTTACGCTTCCATGAAGTGGAAAGATCATATTGGATCAATTGCTATGTCTGCTGCTACGAAGGATGGTTCACTTTGTCGTGCTAGACAATTTTTTCTCGCCAGAATCTATCTTGCACATTTATAAGTGTACCATTTGTCCTTGTTTTGAATATTGTTGACACATCTGGTCTAGTGCTTCTGCTATGTATATTAGAGATTCTTGATAAAATCTGAAGAGGAAGCTGCAATGTTATTGGTCCTGACCTGGTATCTCGGCTTCAATCACTTTCCCTCCGAAGTAATATAGCTTCCTTGTGTCTTTTCTATAAATATTTTCATGGTAACTGTTCTGAGGAACTTTCCTCTATGATACCTAGACTTTATAAATTTAAGCTCATTAGTAGATTGGCGGCAAGGTCTTCTCATCATTTGAGACTTAAAATTATTAGATGTACCCGTAACTTCTATGGCAACAGTTTCTTCTATCGCACTTTTCGCTTATGGAATTCTCTTTTGGCTTCTTGCTTCCAAGTCAACGTTGATGCTCAAAAATTTAAATACATTGTCAATCGCAATCAACTGTCCTCTTAATTCCTGCTCATTTCCTGTTCTCTCTGCTTAATAATAATTTTTTTTATTTAGAAATATAATATATATATATATATATATATATATATATATATATATATATATATATATATATATGGAGGTACGGTGGGCCGGAGTTCGAATTTCAATCGAGTTGATTATATCCATTTACATGCTAAGCCTTTGGGAAAGATATAAACCTATCTCTTCTCCCACCAACTATGTATAAATAATAGGACTGACAGTGTCCTATAGCCTTGGCTGGCAGCCAGTCAAGGAGAAGGAGTTCAAACCAACCTGTTCATGAGAGAGATATATATATACATACATACATATGCACACAGACACACAAACACACACACAAACACACACACACACACACATATATATATATATATATATATATATATATATATATATATATATATATATATATGCACACAGACACACACATATATGTATGTATATATATATATGAGAATGTGTGCGTGTGTGTGTCTGTGTGTGTGTGACATTTTTATTTGAAAAGAAAATAGCAAAAATCACATTTCCGGAACAATATATAAACTTAACCATCAAGCAGAACGGAGTTCATTGCCAAATCCAGACACGGAATCTAATTCCTACGACGCTATTTGCAATCACAAAAGCCTATGCAGCTATTAATCAATAATTTAATAACTCTTATTTAAAATACCAAGCTTTAGAACCGAAGAAAATACACAAGAAATAAACAAGTGTAATAAAATGATAGATATATAAGCAAATAAAATTAAAAAACATATTTTTAATACTAATCCCCATGCACAAAAAGGCCCAAGAAACAGTCAAGCTAGAGGGTTGCTGCGTGGTGCTGTATGAGCAAAAGAAAGTACAAAAAGTGAAGTTCATGAGGGTATGTAGTTAAGATAACGATTAAGCATAGTATTGAATGGTCAAAATTGTAGTGATTGGGAAAACATCCTCCCGGGAGTCTGAATAGAACTTAATTCTTACTTTTGGAATACGAAGGGACCGGAGACGATTCACACTTTTGAACGTGGCACCGCTGGTTCCAATTACAAAGATCAGGGTTGGTGAGACTAAGGAATGCAGCTCGTCAAAACACATGTCATGGAAATGACGATAGAACAGCGGGCGGCTCGCCGCGTGCCAAAACAGGCAAGTGAGGTCTGGGCTGTTCAAGTCTAGATAAGAAACTTACTGCAGGAATACAAAAGGAAATGAGAGCGGTTAACCCTAGACCCGAAGATGTCAAGATTGTAGTGATTAGGAAAACATTCTGCCGGGAGTGTATTCCACAAAGTAGCTGTTCTTGGGAAGAAGCTCTCCCAATAGAACTTACTTTTTACTATAAGACTACGAAGTGAATGAGGATTCATTCCCACTTATGTGCGTGACCTTGTCAGTCCGAATTGTAAAGGTCAAGGAACAAAAGAACACATGCCATAGAAACAGCAATAGATCTGCGAGACGCTCGCAACGTTTCGCCTGGGGGAAAGGACTTTTAGGTTGGAAAATAACCCACAAGTCAGCGTGGACGCTCTTAATAAATAATAAAAATAAACTCAAGTTTGGAACGGTAGATGAAGAAGAGACTCGAGGCGACGGGGATGTGGTTCTACAGAAGGTTGGTAAGAATATTATGGACCGAGCGTGTGAGTAACGATGAGGGCTTAGAGAGGAGGCTTATACTTAACCTCAGGAAGAGGCAGCTGAAGTTTCTGGGACATATAATGAGGAATGAGTGTCTAGAGAATCTGATACTCACAGGTCGAATAGAGGGAAAGAGAGACAAGGGAAAACAATGTGTGATATACCTAGCGGGCTTAAGCAAGTGGATGACAGAACGTGGTCTGTGGGAGGAAGCAGAGGGAAGGAACTTGTTGAGAGCTGCATGGGGTAGAAGGAGGTGGAGAGCCATGATCGCCTCCGTGCTGAAAGGACATGGCACATAAAAAGAAAGAAATAATTTAAAGAAATAACCTTAAAAAAAACGATAAGAACCGAATTTCACTCCTTCCCCATTTCCCATAACCGCTAGTGACCTATATAGAGAGAGCTTATACAAGAACATATAATCTGATAATCAATTATGGTATGAAATTGAAAATCTCCATATAATGTTGATTTTTATGCCCACACTCTTTTAACCATAACCAACCTTTTTTATAGAACCCGCATGTGATATTATACTCAACTATACTGAATGGACCTGAGTTCAGTTTCTCGCAGAGAGCACATATTCTGACGAATGAATAGTTTTGAACTAGGCTAGTATTTTCAAACCCTTGGACACGATAGCTTGCGATTTATGTCTCAACCAAATTGTTCCGTCTACTTAATTTACGGTTTTCAGGCCGATAATATCAACAAGTAACCTCCTTGACAAAATCTAGTATGGTGAGATTCGAGCCCTGGTATCATGGACGAAAAGCAATATATATATATATATATATATATATAGATAGATAGATAGATAGATAGATAGATAATATTAGTGGTCAATAATATATATATATATATATATATATATATATATATATATATATATATTAAATTACCAAGAGGATAGAATCCAGGTACACAATGTAAAGGAAAAAGTAAGAATATAATATAAAAGGCTCAAACACTAATATTCCATGGTTTATTAACGTTTGAG